TGGAGCCTCATAAAGTATTAACTCTTTAAGTGGGGAGGATCTCTGCTTAACAGCATAGCACAAATCCTACACAATTTAAATCCCACACAATCCTATTAAAATCCAAAGAGTTTCAAGCTGTTTATATTAGTTCAGTATCTAATATTAACACCTGGTTTTGAAACCTCACGTAAGCAATATTGCTCCATTGGACCAGCAGGGCAGGGGAAAGCAAGTTCAATCTTCTTGATCGAAGTCTACATCTTCAACTTCAGTGCTTAATCCTTTTCTTGTCTTACTACTTCTCAGCAACTTCCATTTCAGGTACTACATACGAGGTTAGTTAGTGTTTGAGCAATTGTGCTACCTCTCCCGAATTGCTGTACCTGAATTTGAAGGTAATGGTCTGCATTTCCCTGAATACTGGCCACAGGATAGTCAGTGTATGGAGGTGTCAGACTGAGACAGACTCATTTATGTGGTGAACTGCATAGTCCGGATGCCATATTTATTTGGAGCTCTAGTTTCTCTTTTTTTTTATTATTTTTTTTATTTTTCAGCTATTCAACTTACCTAACTGACCTGAGTGTAAGCAATTTGTTAGGCGCATGAATTTGTGGTTCAGAGGAAAATTTTGAAGCTATCACACCAAAGATGTGTGACAGTACATAACAATTATAGCTGGACTTCATAAAAAGTAGTTGGAAATAGGCAAAGCTGTGGAAAAAAAAAAAACATTGGGTCTCCACAGATATCCACTGATATCTACAAATAAGTAACTTTTACATGACAGATTGCCTGTGATGGCAGGGGCAGGGCTTGATACTCCTTCTGGGGTGTATGAGAGATCCTGAAAGATGTTTAACATACTTGAAATGAAACACTAATAGCTTGAAGATCAGCAGTGCTGACCAGCCCTGCTGGTACTAGCTCAAACATCATAGATGCTCAGGCTGCCTAAAACTTAAAAATGGTAAGGGAATGTTCTAAGATGTATTTATTGTCTATGAATACCCCCAGCTATTATTCACAATACATAGCGAGCGATAATGAATCGGCTCACACCTAAAGAAATCAGCAGATGGGCTCTTTCCTCGTCTTATAGAAATGTCAGTTAAATATAAGGATAAAGCTAACGGAGTTATGTGCCAACTATGCCAAAATATAAAGAAATATTGCCAGGTGTAGGAATCTTTTCTTTAGAGGCATATTCCCTCAAGTTTTAGCTTTATTTACTGAATTCCAAGCAACCCTTGTATAAGAGAAATTAGAAATATGATCTCTGATTGCTGCCACTAGATTTCCGCTTATATTGCTAAGTTAGTGATTGTACAAGTGTGCAGTGCATCTGTAATTGCTACCACCAGGAAGAAATTTCCCCTTAGGATTCATTAGCTAATGGCTTCCTCCCTCGTTGTGTTGTAAACCTACAAAAGTCTTTGACAAACTGGTCATTTGCCTCCTTGGAAGCCAGATGTGAAGGACCCAAACAGGTGGGAGCCATAATGACAAAAATATGCATGTAACAGAACTAGCAATTACATGTATTTGTATGATACCCTCATAAAATTATTCTCCTAATAAACTTTAAGTATCCACTCAAGTCATAGGTATGTGTGAAGTAAATGCTTTCAAGAGCCAATAAATTACTTCAATAAATTAACTATTGGTTTTGCAACATTCTTAACCACTCAGGCTCTGGGATTTTAAACGCAGTAGCAGTAGTGCTACAGGATGGCTCAGTTACAGCGTGTTTGCTACCCTTTGGACACCTATTTGAAGTTATATTAATAAGACAGCATGCTGGAGGTGCTCCTTTGGACACCTATTTGAAGTTATATTAGTAAGCATGCTGGAGGTGCTCTGTGTCAAGTACTTGAGGACACATAATCCAAAAGACACAGTCACGTTGTATAGCAATATGTATACTATGCCATAAGGCAAACATGCGCTTAGAACATGTAAATGAGTTTGCTCTTAGGCCCAGGAAATGGGGTCAATTGAAAGTCTATTTGAATGTCCTCATTCTGAACAGTTGTACTGAAGTCCAGGTGTTAAGGTGTTCATGATGAGGAGGACATGCATGAGAGTCTGGTCTTTCAGCTTTCAGCATCTGAGTATGCTCACCTGTAAACATGCTCCTGATCCATAAGAAAAGGTAGTGGGAGGCTTTAGCATTAGAGAGTGAGTTGCTTTCAGGTGTCAGGGGTGTGTGACTAACACAGGGGAGTCATTCTTCCAAATTTCAAGATACTTGGTAGCAGCCCAAATTTCTGCCTGTCAAACTCACTCTAGTCAGGAACTGCAATATCTCCTCTGTGTCATCTTCTGAGTGCAGTCTGGAGTGTCCTAGATAGAACTCTTTTTTCTGGACTTTGGTACTACAAGGGACTATGTGCCACAGTTGTCTAGGATTACACCAGGCTGGAAGCAAGCTTGCTACATCAGTTCTACATTAGTTTTTCAAAATTGTTTTTCTGCTGAAATGTTTTCAAATGCATTCTGAAGGTTGCTATTATCCATGTGGTTTCTGTTCCTATATTTGGAGTCATAATAGTGTTTTGCCACAGAAACAAGTCATTGTGGGGTAATTAGATACCACACAAACTGTTCTGCAGTAGCTGCAGCAGACGTGAACTTGTTAACCTATACAACAGAGAGTACCTGAAGGAAGCTCAGCCCTCTGTGAATGACAGGATAGCTCCCTCAACAGGGGACACCATGGGATAAAAGCATGCACACAGGCCCTTGGCACGCACCGATTTATGTCTTTGTCAAAGTCTTTAGCTTTTGAAGTACATCAACTCTCTTAGAAAAAAAAATACAACCAACCAGCACAAACAACATCTTTATGAAATCACTGAGAATTTTTCCATCCTGATGTTTACTAGGACCAAAAAAAGAAATCTTAGCTTATCTCATTACCCCAGTGATCGGAAGGTTCTTTTGACTCCATCTACAGAAATGACAATACAGCATGCTTTCTGATCATATTTGCAGTTCTAAAATGTAAATACGCAGATTATATGTTTACTAAAAATATCTGTATGCAAGTAATGGCATCAAGTGCACAGTCATAGCTTCTGCTTATTCCAGTGTATCGCTTTAAATGCTCACAAGACTGGAAAAATTGATGATAATAACATTTGATTACAAACCAGTTTGTAGTCTACTTGTTTCCTGGCCAAATGCGCCTAATTCCTGTTGTCATCCTTGCAAGAGCATGGATGCACAAACAGCAAGAAGGAACCCCGCATACAGCACTTTGCTTTCTCTCAGTTTAGGATTCATGCTGGTCAGTTCGTTTTGGGCACAGTGCTCTGTGACCCACTGGGAAAGTCCCTCAAGCACCCCTGTAATGAAGCGCTTGACCATGTGAGTGGCACCTCGAACTCCACAACCACTTGCCTGGCACTGAGTGAGGGCCATTGCTGGGAGCACAAAAACCTTCCAGGCCCTGTGTGCAGCCCAGTACACATGAGGAGCTGGTGCTGGCGGTGCAGTGAAGGCTCCAGTTACTTTTGGGACCTCACTGGGATGGGTGGAGGGAGGGGTGGAGGGCGGCTGAACTTCCCACTGACCAAATAACAGTTCAGCAATTCCAGAGAAGTGGCCTCGGGGTGGGGGGGGATTTAGGTACCGATCAACCAGATACTTTTAGAGCCTGGGGTTCAACCAATAATCCATTTACTTTTCATTTCCCATTAACCAGAAAGACTGTAGCAGTGTCCCAGTAGTGCTGAATGTATACAGTGAATAGTGTATGCTACTGTTGCTGGGAGAGCTCTTTTCTTTTAAAGAGGCTGTTTTACATAGGGAATACCTTAGCTCTCCTCCTCGGAGTATAGCATCTAATAAAAAAAAATAAAAAAAATCCCAAAGCTCACGTCAGAACTCTACCCACACAGACAGATAATTTCAACTCACTCTCCAGAAAACCTAGCTATAACTGCAGAATAACGTAGCAGTCTTCCTACGTTAGACCCAGGCAGCCACTGCCTTTAAACTCAGGCCAGCACAAACCTTCCCTGCCAAGCAGCTGCTTTGCTCATACAGTACCTCCTAAGGCTCTACCCAGCTGTAAGCTCCTAGTCACAAGGACTCCCTATTTTTACATGTTTACACAGCACATAGCGTCACTATGAAGTTCACAGGAAGATCTGTCAGGTGCTCTCATGATATCAATTGTAAGTACATAACAGGGGATCAGTAAAAGCACGTTGTCCAGGTAAGCTGCCAAGAACACTCATTATGTAAGGTTACTACTTTTCTCTCTCTCTGCCTTCCAAGTAACATACTGGCAGGCAGAAAAACTTTTCATGTGCAAGTCAATTAAAAATTCAGAGGCTGTGCCATTTGAGCTGGAAGTTGGATTTCAGTAAGGTAAATTGAACCACATTTAAAAATTAATAAATAAATAAAAGGTTGTGGGGGAAAAAAAATAAAATCCTTTTCTGAGTGGGGTACACACAGGTTATTGTGCCAAAACTGTCACTTGCATCCCATTTCAACTGCTGGCTTGTTAAACAGTGAAAGTTCACTGATGTCTCTGCCAGAGAAGGTGAGGCAGGTGAAACACACCAAGCCCCCAGGCAAAATTCTCTTTTTTGAACCTGTGAGAAAAATGAGTCTTTCCAACCATGAACAAAACCCTTTAAATAATCTCATGCTTGCTGTGAAAATAACTAACAACATCTATTGGCATCGATCCCCTCCCTGAGCCCCACCACTCCCCCAGGTCCTTACTGTAACAAGGAGGAGAAAAGACAAGCAAAAACCCCCAAACCCAAACATCTCGAAAGGCAGGTATTTTCCCAGCTCCGGCTCCTGAGCTGCCCAGGTGACAGGGAGAATTCAGAAGTAGGAGTGTCAGAGCAGGCACCGCAGTCAGAGGTGGCTCATAGCACTCTACCACTGCTCCTGGCACAGGGCTCCAAATAAAAATCAAAGCAATGCATCTCTTTTCAAAACAAAGAAATAATATTAATAATAATAAAAAAAGAATCTCATTCTCTGAGTACCTTTGATTCCTGGCTGGTAGTTGATGCTGGAGAGGGGGGCTGCTCTGTGCTCTCCACTTCATTCTCTTTCTCCACACTATCCACGCTGACTTCAGTCGTGCTGCTCGGAGGAATCATTTTACCTCTAAACCACTGCTACTATCAGGAAAAAAAGCTACAGACCTTTCTCGCTTTTTTTCATTAGTGTCCTCTTTCTGCTCTGCTTTTCTAGAGCAAATGAACTCCGACCGCTCGGTTGCACTACATTTGCAAGACTAGAATTCTCTGGATTTTCTTTTTTTTTTCCTTCTCCTCCTCCTCCCCCTCTTTCTCCTCTCCCTCCTTCCTTCCTCCCGTATGCAATTCTGCTGCAAGGCAAGTAAGTTATCGATGGCTCTGTAGGTCAGTTGTGTGCCTGCTTCTGTGTTTTCCCCGATCCTCCTCCCCTCCGCGTGAAGCCCGGAGGTGTGGAGTGGAGTAGTGACCGTCAGCCCTGCGATCAGAGAGGAGTGAGCCGAAGCAGAAAGCCCGAGCCACGCACACACACACGGGGCACTGGAGGGAGGAGTTGTATTTCTGATGCTGTGAATAGCTTTGGAGGAGCATGTGCTGTCATAGTAGTGAAAGAAAGTACTGCGCGCATGCACGCACGCACACACACACACACGCACAGAGAGGCAGGCAGCGTATATGAGGTTTAGGAAGCATTTTACCTTTTAACAGGCTAGAGAAGGCAGAGTTTGAAGGGCAGCTTTACATTCTTATGAGTCTTTTCCTGAAGAAGGACTCTAGAAATAGAAGAGTAAAATTAGTCTTCCCTTACCTTATCCCGGAGAAGATGATTTATAATCCTACCTACCCGGTGTCTCCAATGCTCCCACCTTGCCTTACATCCCAAACTTGCTAACAAGTGACAGGACAGAGCCAGGGGAGAGTCACCTGTGGATCCGTGTGTTCTTTGCTCCCCTCCCAGGCAGGGAAGCCCAGCTCTGAGCCACGCACACGCAATCAGGGTCAGCTGGAGCTCCCGCTACCGTGTGCATCCTATACCTGTAGGTTGTCATAGCGATAATACTTCATCGGGCAGCAACGGAGCAGAGGCAGCCACCAGGAAGGGCCTGCTGGCTTCCCCCAGTGCTGTCATTCCTGAGGATGAGGCACCCAAAATCACGCTCGGGGCTGCAGTAATACCGGCAGAAGGTCAGCGTGACTTTGCTGGCTGGCTCAGATTGCTTTATATTGCTTGAGTTTTTGCCTCTGATTTAAACCTGCTGCAAAGGTGTCTGTCAGCTCTCTTCCCTGCTGAATTAAGGTCTGTATTGTGAAAGGTTGAATGGATGCACTCCCCACCAGACAGATGCTTTGCAGAGCAGGAGCCACTCCACACAACTGGTGGAGATGCCTCTTTCATTTAAAGAAAATGGAAAAAAGGACCCCAAACATGTTTCCAATAAGCAATACTCACACACCCTGGAAAGTGAGAAGAAAAAAATTGTTGCTTAGTTGATTCATACTGGAGGTACGGGTGTTTGGAAGTGATTTGCCGAGATCTGGGTCAGAGAGGAGCTTCAGTACCTTGTAGCTCTGGGATAGGGTACCAGATTCCCTTCCAGACCCACCCCTTAGAAACACAACTGCTACCTGGAGCTGCCTGGCAGGCCCTCCACCTCAAATCATCCATGCGTGAAAGTGAAGGCAAGTTTTCAAGATAGTGGGGGTTATAAGGATGAAAGCCAGAGCAGAAACTGCCCTGCAGCCTCTGTATTCTTAATAACTATGCAGAAGCCAGGAGAAAAATCAGCTTTTCTTTGAATCCACCGTGCATTTTCAGGACCAGAAGTTAGATGGGGAAAAAAAACTTTCTTTCTTTGAAATAGAGCACATAAGACGCTGAAATCTTTAGCAAACGATAAACATGAAATGCTGCAATGCTATTTTGTTCAGCTACTTCAGAGCAAAAGTGCATCTTAGGAGTCTGCCAGTAGAACCTATTATTTGGCCTGTAGTCGCTAACACCATTACAGAGATCAAAAAGAGGACGCTAGTTGCTGTTGAGGCAGTCTCAGTGACAACTGAGATTGAAGCAAGGAAATATAGAGCTCAGAGGGGCAGAGTTGGCAGGTAAGTAGAAGAATTTATTTCCAAGGGTTTGATTTCTAAAATACAGCAGCATCTTAGACTGTTCTCTTCAGAGCCGGAGGAATTCTCCAGGTGCAAAGCTCATTTCTTCCACTCAGCAAGTGAGTTTTGGGCTTTGGTGTAAAATCAGCCTCTTAGCAATGAGCAGGAACTGGGCAGAGTCACAGTTTGGGAGAATTAGGGCAGCTGTGGGCAATGGAGATCTTGGCAGGGTGGCAGCGACTGAATGCTCCAGCTCTGGCAGTGGTATCCTTCCCTGATGGTCCAGCCTAGCACAGCCAAGTCAGGGCCAGGGCAGGGGGGCTGCCCCCTGCAAGGGCTTTTCTGCATGCCCAGCCATGTGCCAGGTGAGAATCATGAAACTGATTTTTGTCCAGTTCCCCAGCAGCGTCGTGAACCAGTTTTTCCCATTAAGAGGCTCAAACCCATCTTTCTTCTGGTGTGATTGTAGGTGACCTTTCAAATGGACCTGGAGTGGCTGGTTAATAGTTAACGCTCCAAGTGTTGTAAAATCCTGCACACATTTTGCATGAAAAGCTTGTAACGTCATGACTGTGTAAGTGACTATCATACCACTCTCTAGTCTTTTTTTTTTTTGTTGTTTTACCAAATTAGTACTAACACCTGCTGCACTCCCTCTCTTCTCCCAATTACTCACTTGTCAACCACGACTGATCTGTCAGTTTCTTGACAATTAGCCTGGGAAAGATGAGTCAAACCTAAAATCTTACCAAAAAAGCAAAAAGGAAAAGAAGTTGCATTCCTTATATATTTTTATTTCCTTCCACGGGAGCTGTCTATTGAAAATCAAATATTCGGTATAACAAAACACACTGATCAGATTAGATGAACCTACATCTCCCTCTCTCTCCCACGCTTCACTCCTGAGAAGTTGGACTTGTGATTGCTGCTGAGCAGTCTGTAAGTGAAGGTACTCGGCGGAAATGTGAGCACTGCAGCACGGTGCTAAACAAGAGGAAATGGAACAGATTCTCTAGTGAAGAGATGAGTGTAGATTTTTGGAGTGGGGAAAGGCAATTTGGATGAATAAAACATGAGAGCCACTTCTCAGCCCCCAGTTGAAGTTGCTGCACGGCATAAAGGCGCTTGGATGTTGCCTGGAGTCACCGCCAAGCAGTCCTCTGCTGGGCGGTCTGAGGCTGGCTGCATGGGTGCTGCGCCTTGTCCATCCTCCCTCCCCTCCTGCTCTCTGGCTGCTTACACAAAGGCGACAGGGTGTGATGCAGAGCACCCCCCTGCGCTGGGGCTCCAGCAGTTCTTCCTAAGCTCTGGCTGCGGCCGGCACTATAAGAGCAGCCCAGAGGCTCCTGACTCTGGGAATGTATACACACTGCTGTACAGCCAAGTCCTACCTTCTGCAGAGCTCCACAGCGGAAAGATTAAGGTGATGTAGAGGTTTTGGCCCACATCATGTTCTTTTGCCTTCTTTTCCTGGTACAGACATTCCTCTGAAATAATCGATCACCTTTCTGCAAAAGAGGTAATGAGTAGAGCTGGATTTCACCAAAGGAAAGACACGAAATCAGTCCTTCTCAAAAAATGTTATTCCCTTTTAGACCCCCATGCATTTACTAGAGAAAAATAAGAAGTAAAAAGGAGAGAGGGAGCTATAGGTGTCATTATTCACTGCCTGTTGCCTAAACCATCTCATACTCCTGAGCAAAGAGGGTGTAAGGGAGCATATAGAGCCAATACTACTGATAAATGGCACTGGTTTAAACACTATGTACCTCTCTCTAGAAACGTACAAAGCAGTGAGGAATCAGGCTGGTTGCTGCCAAGGCACAGCCCTCGAAGGAAAGAGGAATTAAGTCTGTTGAGAGTCCAACTTCCAAAAGGATGCAGACTGAGTGCCACAGAAAACTATCAGACACAGAAAAAAGGCTGTAGTTCTGGCACTTGCGGTGAAGTGTGATCAGCCTCTCCCCAAGTCCCTCAGTCCAATTTGTGCATGTTCCAGGTGAGAAACAGTAGCTTCATTTCTGAGGCAATTCCATTTTGTCTTTGTGGAAACTGGCAACAGGATACCTGTCTAGTGCCATTTGTGATGGGAATTTTACTTCTGGCATTCTGCATTTGGCCAGAGGTACTGGTGGACGACTTTGCTAGGGTCTGCTCTCAGATATCCACTATTGCCCACAGCTGGCTACTAGACTGCAAAGACCAGACTCTAGCGGAGTATCTGCCTGTGTTTCCAAGTAACAGGCTTGTGAGCACTTCTCGCCAGCAAACATTGTATGCACAGAGAAAACTATATTAAAATAGTATCAGGTGCCTGGGTTTTTTGTTTACAGTCACACACCCCTTGTTACAATCACCAGCTCATCAAGCTGGAAGCACAAACTGGTCAACGCTCTGAAAGCTTTCCCAGTACTAATGGGATACTGATGGTTTGTATTTTGACTGAAATGGTCTCAAAGTACTTTTTAGAGTTAAAGTATTAAGCTTCCCACTGCTCCGGGGAGTGATTATACTGTAGCAAACGAGTAACGGTGGAGGAAGCCAAACCAACAGATTTGTGCTTGCACTTAAACAGGGAGAAAAATGGAACCTCTGCCTGAGTATTAATTTCAAACCTCTCTTTCTCTCCATCCACAGCAATGCTACAGGGAGTGATGCAGAGATCACACTGCACCTTGGGGAACTTGAATCTGTCTTTCAGAAAGATCACGATGAGATTGAAACACCTCTACCCAGACATCTAGACCAGGAAAAAGGAGAATGCTGCATCCTCTTGCAACAGAAAGAAATGCTTGAGAAGGGGAGAAGAGGATGTAATTATAAAAGATGGAATTTAGCCAAGATACAGCATGTAATATGTTCAGTCTTACAAAAAGCATTGCAATACCTTTAAATAACCAGCGACAGTCCCGACCTGATTTTACATCTCTGCTGGCAATATGATTCCTTCTCACTTTTTATAGGAATGTGATATAAAAAGAAGAGGCCTGTGGAATCAGTAGCACCGTTTCCTGCAA